GTTTTCATGAAGGTGTCACCCATGAAGGGGGTGATGAGATTTTGCAAGAAAGGAAAGCTCAGTCCCAGATATGTAGGTCCTTACAAAATCCTAAAATGGGTTGGTAATATGGCTTATGAGTTAGAGTTGCCAGTAGAACTAGCATCGGTTCATCCAGTCTTCCACATTTCCTTGTTGAAGAAGTGTGTGGGTGATCCGGAATCGATAATACCTTTAAAGAGTGCGGTTGTGAAAGATAGCCACATTTATGAAGAGGTTCCAATTGAAATTCTTGACTGTCAAGTTCGCAGGTTGAGAAATAAGAAAGTCGTTTTAGTAAATGTTTCATGGAGAAGTCAGTCATCATAGGGAGCTACTAAGGAAGTAGAAACAACCATGAGAGCCAAGTACCCTCACCTCTTCCCTTCTGATTCAGTTTCAGCTTGAGGTAATAGTTCCTCTCCAATCTCTCAATCTACTATTGTGTAACTCAGACTCAATATCAGTTCCCTCAATTATCCTTACATTTCAGCATATTTGCATGTTTATGGAACTCAGTTCAATTAGATATCAGTTTCTAGTACTTAGTGGTAGGGATTGCAACTCTTTCCCTCCATATTCAGCTTGTTTAGTCTTCATTCAAGGATGAATGTTCCCAAAGGGAAGATAATGTAACACCTCGGGTCCCGGGGAGATGAGACCTACAACCATGGTCCACGGTCCATAGGTGGGGTCCCGTTATTGGGGTCCAAGATTTAACGGTCTTTAATCCCACCCATAGCCGACCAATACGGTCTGTGGTTAGACTTACGGACCGTAGGTCTGTCCGTTGGTAAGGGTCGACAGTTATTTGGAAAGAAATGTCTTTTGGGTCAACTTCAAATGGTCATATCTTTTAACACAAAATGAATTAGATGGCCCATGACCTATCAAATTAAAGATAATTGAGTCCTCTTTCCAACGCCATCGAGTTTGCTAAAATCCAAGCTCGTAGTAAAAAGTTATGCTCATTTTAGTAGAGCCCTATTGGGAAGGGCCACAACCACGACCCAATTGACGGGCAGTGGTTCAAACGACGGCCTGTCAGTTCCCTTATGAGTGGAACTTCGTCAGCTTTAAGTCAGGGTTGTTTTTGTATTTTCCCATATGCGTTGGGCACTTAACTACGTCGTTTGATGCTTAATCTACGTCGTTTTACTCAATATAAGCCTAATAACCTAGTCATACATACCCAGAACCCTCATTCTTCAAAAATCACTCAACTTAGAGCAAAAAGAAGAGGAAAAGTCGTCAGTTTCTTCCAAGAACAAGCAGAGGTGCTCTTCGAAGTACAGCCCCGGAATCTAAAGGACTTCTCCGTAGATTTCGTCACTAGGTATGTAGGATTTCACTAGTGAGTTCCTTTCACCCATTAGATCCCTAGAATTCAGTTAGTTCTTCATATTCTCATAAACTGCTCAGACATAGGGTTTCTAGATTTTCAAGATTTATTGTGATTATGGTTCCTTTGATCTAAATAATTTGTTTCTTGATAATTTAGTATAATTCCATGCATAGCACTCAGAACCCTAGCTTGTGTAAATTTATCCTAGTTCATGAATTATACTTGCTAGGTCAACTAGACAGAAATTCATGCTTGAGATTTCGAATGTTATATTCTCAGTATATAAATGTTGCATTCTTAGTTAGCATGTCAATTTTGAGCTATTCAGTATTTAGTGCATTTTAGCTTTGTGAATATTCAGTTGGGAGTAGACTTAGCATCGAGTTGGACTAGGGTTCAGCGTACCCTTAAAGTCCTAGAACTACGTGCAACGTAGGTTCAGAAGCTTTCTCTGCTGGGCATCAATTTTAGTGATCACGCCACAGTCATGCCTTTATACCCATGGCAAGATATATTGGGTCCTCTCGATGGGGCGTATACATCGGACTTCACGTTTAGCTCACATGGTTTATGTCGATTAATAGTAGCTCTCACAGTCAGACTCTTATTGCATTGACCAGGTTGTCAACATTTACTTCAGTATACAGTTCAATATGTTATCTGGATGATTAGTACTTGGTCATTGCATCCAGTTTATCTTTCAGTTATACTTTAGTAAATATATGTATCCTTGTTCAGATTATATCATTGCTTAGTTATGCATTGTTCAACTTATATACTTTGTTCAGCTTAGCATATCTATATCTTGCATGCTTAGTACATTCCAAGTACTGACGCATACTTTGCGCTACATCATTTCATGATGTAGGTTCGGTCACTTAGCATCTAGATCACCCTTAGATCGATTCTCGATTCAACTCCAGCAGCTTCAGTGGTGAGTCCTCATACTTCGAGGCCAATAGATGCTTTCTATTTTAGTCTTTATTTATTTCCAGTTTTGTTAGAGTTAGTTGGGGCATGCCCAGCAACTCGACTCAGTTAGAGGCTTTTCAGACATAGTAGTAGATTCAGCTCGAGTTGTTAAGTGTTGTTTCAATCAGTATTAAACTCTTATTTTATTTTATATTCAGACTAGTTGGGTTTTCCCCACTTTCAGATATCCAATGCTTTAGCTTCCGCATAATACATGTTTTACTTAGTTATTCTCAATATGCTTGATATATGCCAGACTCAGGGTTAGCTTAGGGTCACTCGTGATCCTAGGTATCGTGTTACGTTTAGGGGGTAGCCATGGGGCGTGACATATCTTAACTCGACAGATACATGTATTCAAGAAATTGACAAAGAAAGATACATGTTTAATTAAGGAATGTAACTAAAATGATTAATTTAAGGAGGAAATCACTCATTTAACAGTTTTTAAGTATATCTAGTCTAATATAGAACCCACATCCTCTTTTAACACAAAACCAGTCAACTATTTTGTCTTCTTTACTACTAACTCCGGTGAATTGGAGAAGCGAAAGATACACCATAACTTTTTCCCTCTTCATATCTCAAGATCTTATTCTCTTATCCTTTTCTTCCGGGCTAAATATACATAACTAAATTTTCCTCTTCTAAGAGGCTTTCTAATATTAAAATCGTTGAGATTTCAGCTCTTTTTATTCACCACCACCATACCTTCCGATGAACCCTACAAATATTGTAATCCTAATCAATCCAATTTACAGAACTGAAAATGTAAGCAAAAGATAAAAATACACATGTTTTTATTGAATAAACTTCAAGCATAAAATTTTTAGAATCTTATAATTATGGTCATTATATCAAAAATTAAATAACAAAGTGTATCAAAGTCAATCAATCCATTTTGTTCTATAATATGCAAAAAAAAATAAAAATCGTCTGAATACCTTAGTTCATAGTCATAAATCCTTCTTTAATACTCATTAATTAATGTTTCACCTAAAAACTTACACACGTCTGTTTTGAATGCCTATTAATTAAATTGAAATGGGGGGGGGGGGGGGGGAGAGTATCACAACGATAATAAAAAAAACAAAATTTTAAAAAAAATGAGAGCTAGAGAGATGAAGAGGGGAAAGGGTTGTATTGAATCACTAGTTGCTCTCGGGTCCAGCGAAGCTAGAAGCTCCTTGATGGAGTAGTGAAAAAGATAAAGAGCAACTTTCACATATAGCAATTTAAAAATCATGTTTGTATGTTATAATTATAATTTGCATAATTGCGCTCCATAGCAAATTTTATATTTGCTATGGAGCTTTTGATTTGTATAATTCGCTAGAAACATTCAATTTTATACAAATTGTTCAATTTTGTATAAATTCATTTATACATTGTAATTTGTATATAAGATCTGTATTTGTATAATTGTAAGTGTATAGAACAAAAATATATGTATTTGTATTTGTATATACACTTTTCTCTCGCTTTATACAAACACAAACACATTTTATACCGAAATGTATAAAATGACTAATTGTATACTGAAAATGGTTAATTGTATACCGAATCAGATGGCAAAAAAAAGGGATGTACGAATTACAATCAAAATAAACTATGGCTATAGCAGTTTATTTGAATTAATAGTTTGCTATTTCATACAATTTTCCCAAAAGGGCTGACTAATTTTGAGTTAAAAGGGGATGCGGATTTTAATTCGGGTGTTTTTTTTTTAAATTTGGATGAGTTTCACATTGAGTAGTTTAATTAATGGAGTGATCATATCATAATTAATTACCTGTAAAAAGTGGTATATCAAAATCAGTTATATTTTCCGTTAATAAATAATGACATGAATGAATACTTTGTCTTCTTGCAAGAGGTATAGATAAATCCAACTTTAAAAGAATGAGATAGATGAATTTTTTTCTCAAAGTTCGATAACATTTTTTAGTGTTTTCTGATTCCTCAAAAGTAGTAATGATATCTCTCTTCTCTATAATTGTCATAATCTGTGTAGTCAAATGCACACATTCATGAAGCCATTAGAGAGAATAGAAAGCTTGAAGAAGAAGATATTTTGTGGAATGATTTATGTTACTTCATTCAGCTCAACTGAGCATTATTTATACATGAACGAAAGTAGCATTTTCTCTAACCGACTAACTACTTTGTAACAACTAATATGACAACTAGAATTACTAAATTAATACTAACTAATTTAGTTGGCTAACTAACTATCAGTAACAACTCACTTTATACAGCATGCCTATCTACAACTACCATTGATCAACATATATTTCAATACTCCCCCTCAAGCTGGAGGGTCAAGAATGTTATACACTCCAAGCTTGCCAAGCATGTGTATGTTGAATGCTAGTGAGACTCTTAGTTAGTAAGTCAGCCTGATGTTCCTTAGTATTCACATAGACAACCTTGACTGGGCTTTCTTTGATCTTGTCCCTAATAAAATGACAGTCAATCTCAATGTGCTTCGTCCTCTCATGAAAGATAGGGTTCTCAGCAATTTGAATTGCTGATTTGCTGTCACTGAAAATATAGATTGGTGTATTAATCTGCACACTTAATTCTTGAAACAACCCCTTTAGCCAAGTCAGTTCTGCCACAGTTGCAACTAGACTTCTATACTCGGTTTTTGCTGAGTTTCTAGTTACTGTTTGTTGTTTCTTAGATTTCCAGGAGACAATAAGTTTCCAAATTTGACAGCAAAACCAGTAACAGACCTTCTGGTGTTTGGACAAGAAGCCCAATCAGAATCACACCAACAAGTGAGTTGTTGAGTGACTCCAGATTGTAATAGTATGCCCTGTCCTGGTGAATTCTTCAGATACTTTATTGTCCTCAATGCAGCCTCCCAGTGTGATCTCTTTGGCATCTGCATAAATTGCCATAAGGTTTGAACTGAGAAACAAATATCAAGTCTTGTTATAGTCACATAAAGTAACTTTTCAATCAGCCTCTGATATGCATTGGCATCAGACAGTAGTTCATCTCTTGTGCTATTGGTTGCCTCATCAAACTCCCTTGTTGTGAGTTTTCGATTGACTTCTAAAAGAGTAATTGTTGGCTTTGATCCACTCAGTCCCATTTCAGAACTGAGTTCCAACACATACTTCCTTTGATTCAATAGTACACCTCTTGTAGACTTCATGATTTCAATTCCAAGGAAATATTTCAGCTCTCCTAAGTCCTTCATCTTGAACTTGTGATTTAGAATCTGTTTTGCCTTCTCAATCAGAGTGATGTTACTACCAGTGATCAGTAAGTCATCAACATATACAAGCACAATGACAATATCAGTTTGTTCCTTCATAATGAATAAGGAATAATCATGATTGCTTTGTGAAAAACCTGCATGCACCAGTGCTTCTGTTAGTTTAATATTCCACTGTCTTGAGGCTTGTTTCAAGCCATACAATGACTTCAGCAGTTTACACACTCTTGTCTCCCCTGCCTTCTAAATCCTTCTGGCATCTTCATGTATACCTCTTCTTCAAGATCACCTTGAAGGAAGGCATTATGTGCATCCATCTGAAACATATTCCAACCTTTAGAAGCAGCTAAGGCTATAATAGATCTCACTGTTACCATTTTTGCTATAGGAGAGAAAGTGTCATGGTAATCTAATCATTCTCTTTGACTGTAACCTTTTGCCACCAGCCTTGCCTTAAATCTTTCCACATCACCACTTGCTTTATATTTGATTTTGTAAATCCACTTAGATCCCACTGTGTTCTTTCCTGCTAGCTGTGTTACAATTTCTCATGTTTTGTTTTCTTTTAAGGCTAGTACCTCTTGCTTCATGGCCTCTATCCACCTTAGGTCTTTTGCAGCCTCTTGAAATCTCTGTGGTTCTACTAATTTAGAGACTTTGGTTAAGTAGCACTGGTATTTAGGGGATGTTTTCTCATAAGAGATATAATTTCCCATAGGGTACAAACTGATGCTTCCCTTTTTCCAGACAGCATAGTCTTTCATCCATATGGGCTCCTTCATAAGTCTATGGGATTTTCTGATGTATGGTGCAGTTGGTTGCTCAACAGGATGAGCATCAACAGTCACCTAAGCTTGAGCTTCAATCATAGCATTGTCATATGTATCATCATCCACAAACACATGCTCAACTGTCATAACATCAGTATCTTGTGTGTTATTAGCCACAAGTTCTTGACTAGCTATGCCATGTATAGCAACATCTTGAGTTTCTAGGATTACAGCTCCACCAGACTCAATAGGCTCTGCAGGTTCTACACTTACATGATCATTGGGAACAGTTGTTAGAGGAGAAAATTGTACCAACTCATGTTCAACCAGCATGTGATTCTCTTGTGTGACTGCAGATATTTTGTTCCTGAAAGGAAATGTGGTTTCTCTGAATTGAACATCCCTGCTAACAAAGAAAAAATTAGTATTGAGGTCCAACAATAAATATCCTTTTATGTCTCAGAGTATCCCATAAAAATGACCTCCCTTGCTCTTTCTGCAAACTTGTCATGCTTGACTAAGTTTGTAGCATAGCAGAGGCAACCAAATACTCTTAGATGATCAATGTGATTCTTCATCTTGTACAGAACTTCATAGGGAGTATGGCCTTGCAACACAATGGATGGAAGTCTATTTATGAGATACACTGTAGCCTTCACACATAGACCCCAGTATCTTATGGGAATATCAGCTTGGAACCTCAAAGCTCTAGCTGTGTCCAAGATCTGTTTGTGTTTTCTTTCAACCCTGCCATTTTGTTGTGGTGTATGTACACAACTACTTTGGTGCACAATCCCATGTTGGTTCAACAACTCATTACATTTGGAATTAAAAAATTCAGTGCCATTAGCTGACCTTATGACTTTGATAGCAGCATCAAATTGAGTTTTTATCATAGACAAAAAATCTTGTAATACTACTATGACATCTGACTTGAATTGCAACAAGAATACCCAAGTAAATCTGCTATGATCATCAACAATAGTAAGGAAATAAGATTTCTTATTAAGAGTAGCAGTTTTATAAGGTCCCCAAAGGTCTAAATGTACAAGTTGGAATGGAAATTCATTACATGAGTCACTAGTTGAGAACTTCAATCTAGATTGTTTAGCCGTTGGACATATTGAACAATTTTCATGTACTAGCCTATTACATTTGCCTTTTATTACTGCTGTATGTATCCATTTCATGACTGACAAAGATGGATGCCCAAGTATGATAGCTTCCAGAAGTAGTATCCATTGTTGCTGTCATATTTATTCCTGTAGAGTACTTGTTTATTTGTTTCATGTGTCTCTCACCTCCTGATCTGAAGATGTACAAGCCACATTTCTCCTTACCAATCCCCCTCACCTTGCCACTGAATAGATCCTGAAATACACAGAAATCAGGAAAGAAGGAAACAGAACATGATAGTTTCTTGGTAAACCTAGAAACTAACAATAGGTTGAATCTAAAGTCAGGTACAAATAGGAATTCCTTATAACTGACTCATCAAACACATTTGTCTCTCCTATGTGTGTGATATCAACCTTACCACCTATAGGCAAGTATATTTTGTCATTGCTGGAGTTTTCTACTTCCTCATATTTCAACAGGTTTTCTAAACTAGCTGTAATGTGGTGAGTAGCCCCAGAGTCAACTATCCATTCACTATGTGGAATGTATGAATGAAAACATGTGATAGTACCTGATGAATTTGTTGCCTGTTGGCCATCTGCAAAATCCTTGCTCAACATATGCAAGATTTGTTGATACTGTGTTTCAGTGAAGTATTGGCCATTTGCATCTCCTGAGGCCTTTCCTCTAGTGAAGTGACTATCATGGATGCTTGTTCCAGCAGAGTGCCTACACCATATGCATTATTCACATGTGCAAAAGGTTGAGTGTTATATTTACCATTGACAAAAAGTTGATTCTAAGGATGTGACTGGTTGTTAGCATTTTGATTTCCACTTCCTCCTCTAGAGTTGTATCGGCCTCTAGGTTTGAAAGCATCAGGATAACCAATTATCTTCCAGCATTGCTCCTTTGTATGACCTCTCATATGACAATGTTCACATCTCAGAATAGGCCTCTTTCCTCTGTACCCTGGATCTCTACCAGCTTGTAATATAGTAGGATCATGAAGTCTATCCTAACCAGTTACGACCTGATGACAACTGATTGTCCTTTCACTTTCATCCTCATAAATCATAGCATATGCATGCTTGGCTTACAGTGGGAGCTATAGATTTCATAAGAATTTGCCTTCGAGTTTGATCAAAAGAGTCATTCAAACCATTCAAAAATTGAAGTAACCTCTGGTCTTGTAGATGATCATCATATTCTTTGGATTTTGGGCAGTCACATTTAGGAGTTGAAATTATAGTGTTGTATTCATCCCAGAGCTCTTTGTGTTTCGAGTAATAAGTAGAAACAGAGTTCGTACCTTGTGTATGATTGGTGATTTCTCGATGCAATTGGAAAACTCTTACTCGATTGATTTTGTTGAATCGTTCCTTCAGATCCTCCCAAACAGCACTGGCACTTGATCCGTATACGATTCCACTTAACAAATGCTTCGAAACAGAATTCATGATCCATGAGTGCACTATTGCATCACATTTCTCCCACGCATCAGCCAAAGTATCCTGAAACTTCTCCATGCTGCAGGTTCCATTGACAAATCCCAATTTGCCTTTTCAAATGAGAGCAATCCTCATCGATCTGCTCCAAAAGTTGTAGTTCTCAGTTCCAGTTAGCTAGATAGGAATAAGCATTGAACCAGGAGTGTTTGATGGCTGTAAGAAAAACGGGTGTTTGTGATCGATGTGTTCTTCAAGGTCTCCCATGTCAGCTTCAAATTCCCAGATATGAATAAAGGATCGAGTTTGCGAAAGCGAATTAGAGCTCAAGGCTCTGATACCATGTCATAATATGTGTAGTCGAATGCACACATTCATGAAGCCATTAGAGAGAATAGAAAGCTTGAAGAAGAAGATATTTTGTGGAATGATTTCTGTTACTTCATTCAGCTCAACTGAGCATTATTTATACATGAACGAAAGTAACATTTTCTCTAACCGACTAACTACTTTGTAACAACTAATATGACAGCTGGAATTACTAAATTAGTACTAACTAATTTAGTTGGCTAACTAGCTATCAGTAACAACTCACTTTATACAGCATGCCTATCTACAAGTACCATTGATCAACATATATTTCAATAATAATCTTTGTCAATACTAATATTTTTCTTCTAACTTTATTATTTTAATAACAATATTATTCTTTTTTAAAAAATATTCTTTTGAGAAAGTTGAAAATAAAATAGGAATTAAATAAAAGAGAGAAGAGTTTTTTGACATTGCACTAGGGTAGGAAAATTAATGTAACCATACAAATTTCTTGAGAAAAAGGATATTTCTCATAAGATGTTTTAACGCAACCCAATAACTGCGGCGGCACAGCGTTGAATCTATCACGATCACCGCCACTCTAAGGCAACGATTGACCCTTTTCTTCTCCGTTAGGAACATCACAACCTCTGTCGATCTGGGGAAAGGGATTCTCCGATTTTACAGTAAGTTCGTTTTTTTCTCTACTGTTTCGTTTTTTAATTCAATTTGCTTGATGAATTGATATTTATATTTTGTTTGTGATTTTGGAGATGGATGGTAACAAAGATGAGGCTTTGAAATGCTTAAAAATAGCGCAAACTTCGATTGAATCTGGAAATCGTGAACGGGCGTTGAAATTCTTGAACAAAGCTCGTCGTTTAGATCCATCGCTTGAAATTGATGATTTATTGTCTCAAGCTGATGCTTTTCAATCGAAAAATAGTGTATCCAACTCTCCCTCTAGCTCATCTATACCCTCCGAGTCCGAAAGTAGTTGTACTCGTCGGAGAGTTTCTTCGTATACCGAGGAGCAAGTTACAATTGTTAGGGAGATCAAGAGGAAGAAGGATTATTACGATATCTTAGGGTTGGAGAAAAGATCTAGTGTTGAGGATGTGAGGAAATCTTATAGGAAGCTGTCTTTAAAAGTTCATCCTGATAAGAACAAGGCTCCGGGGGCGGAAGAGGCGTTTAAGATGGTGTCTAAGGCGTTTCAGTGTTTGAGTGATGAGGAGAGAAGGAGAACATATGACTCTGTTGGCTCTGAGGAGCCTGTTTATACGAGGCGTCCTACTACACATCATCATGCTACTGGATTTCGATTTAGTGATGACGTTGATGCTGAAGAGATATTTAGGAATTTCTTCTTTGGCGGTATGAATCCGGCAACAACTACTCATTTTAGCTTTGGCACTGGAATGGGAATGGGAGGAAATCAGGGATCAAAGTCCTTATTCAAGACTTTGATTCAATTGTTGCCTGTCATATTGATCTTGTTGGTCAACTTTCTACCTTCATCAGACCCAGTTTATTTATTTTCAAGGTCTTATCCATATGATCTTCGCCTGGCTACGCAAAGGGGTGTCAACTACTATGTCAAGTCTGGGAAATTTGAACAGGAGTATCCTGTTAATACCCCAATGCGTTCCGCCCTTGAAGAAAAAATCGACAATGATTATTTCTCAATTCTATCTCACAACTGCAGGCTTGAGCGACAACAACTTCATTGGGGTTATCAACGACAAACACCAAATTGTGATACACTGAAGCAGTTCCAAGCTGCAGCTTGATTTACTGATGAAAGGGTGCAGTTTCCTCCTTGTGATATCTTACTCCCAAAATAAATTTAGTATTGGATTTTAGATTGACAATCATATGCAGTTTGGTCCCTTTTATTTAATTCCTCTCCACACGAGGACATATTTATAGATGACTTAGTGAACTTGCCAATCTTGTTTGCATTGTTTGATAATTGCTGTGTTATAATTGCAGAACATATGCTAGTTTATGTCACATTCTGTTATAAACTCTACTGGATAGTAATTCACTTTCAGACCACTGGTGCTTCGTTTGCTGTATTAAATTACTACTACAATCATGATTGGAGATCCACTTCTTCTTTTATTTGGATAAATATGATTGAAGGTTGAGTTATTTAAGTTCAGGAATGAATGTCATATCTTTGTGGACAACTAGCTCAACTCATTTTAAAGTTTTTTGGTATATTGTCGATAAGGTAGTTAACAGATTCGGTATGGTGTATGGTGCCTGCTGCTATCTTTTGGTGCGTCTGGAATGAAAGGAATCTTTTGATGGGATTTCAATTCCTAACCACATTCTTAAATCCAACTGTTTAGTCTTCTTATATAGCTGGTTCAACCAGGCCCCTGTAACCACTGTTGATCTTTTTTTGGACTATGTCTGCTCTTTAGTTATTCAGTAAATTCTTGTACAGGAGCAGACCCCTCCGTAAATATTTGCCTTGCATCTTCATGATGCCTTGTAATGAAATCTCCTTTTTTCATCAAAAAAATTAGTTAACAGATTCCAGGTTGCAGTACTCACTAGATTGTTTTATTTATGAGTTTGGGCAAGGTCCAGCCGATGAGCGGTACAGCACTGTTTCTGTTAGATAATACAAGCTGTTTGATCGCAATGCTGTGGTAATTACTTGACAATGGCATAGGTTTTGTGGAATATTAGATTGAATTCAGTTGAATTTTGTGACCTTTATGTTCCTCCCGTCCTCAGAAGACTTGTTGAGTTCAGCCTTTTCTTGTATTAAAATTTAACAAGCAGGATTTTGTCTTTTCATTTCTTTCCTTCTTCCTTGCTGTAGTAATTTACAAAATCCCATAAACATGTATTCATTCATAAGTTCCTACTGGCTAGCATACATCGTGGTTCAGTAGGCAGTTAAGTTTGTGACGAGCTTAGACAAAACCCAGTATATGCATTTACCAGGTACATAATGAGCTATTTGAGCAATTGCTGAGTCAAGTAGGACCATTGATTTATATTGGTTCTGAGTAAAATGTTCCCCTCTTCTCTTGGTGAACAGGTGAAGTACTCCTAAAGTCTGCTAATGACGTGGGTTTTTGGCCAGTGATAAAGATCAACTGGTTACTGTGTGGCACAGTATAGATTGAGCTGACTGATTGTTTCCTTCTCAATAATATATTTAGACTTTTTTCAACGACTTCAAAGGTAATAAGTAAAGGAGTTTCTACTTGTTCTTCCTACATTTTGCCATGTACAAGGGTATACCCTATATTTGATTCTTTTTGACAAGCAGAGTGTGTATTTCTAGTATAATTTACATAAATCTCATAGTGTTAAGAGTTAATTACATTATTTCCCTACTCTTTTTCAAATTACAAAAGTCCCTTAAAATTTATGGATTTTGGATATATCACTAGACTTTTGATACACAGGCGAGCAAAGAGGGGAGGGATGTATCAGAGAAGGAATAAGACATTTGGATACATAGGGGAGGGTTGTATCCGAGGGGATAGGATCCAGATACACAGGGGGGGATGTATTGAGAGGGGGATATGTATGTATCCGAGAGGGATAGGGATGTATCAACGAGAGGAAAGTGATGTAGCCGAGAGGGTATTTTTGAAAAATTTTAAATGGTAGGAAATTTTAGAGATTATGGTAAAATAAAATGTGTAATGATAAATTATTGTATTTAAAAAATGGCCCTTGACGACTTCCTTGGAAATAGGGATGACAACGTGGTGGTGTTGGGTGGGGTGGGTTGAGATAATTTTTTTCTGATATGTGGGCCAGTTTGCGGGTTTAAACAAAAATAGAAGAAATACTAAAATTTAAAATTATTCTAGCGGTGCTGATGGGATTGTCCAGCCGGTTATTTTTAAAAAACTATATCATCCCAATTTTTTAGGCATTTTATAAGTATAATCAAAATTAGGTTCGTTTAGACCGTATCAATTATATCAGTGTTTCTTTGGTGTTGGTATGGTTTCGTTTTTATTTTTTATTTATAATGTATCACCTCAAAATACATCATTGTTAAAACATTTCTTTCATAAGTGTGTTCTTGAAAAAAACACTTCAATTCTTCAATAATTTGGTGTCGGTACGGTTAACTTAATTTTCGTTTTTATTTTTATTTTTAATGTATCACATCAAAATACACCACTGTTAAAACATTTCTTTTATTAGTGTGTTCTTGAAGAAACACTTCAATTCTTCAACAAGAAGCTAAAAACGTAAAACCTTGTTGCTATATTGTTTGACTTAAGACTTTCAATTAGATTGTTTGACAGGGATTTATGATAATATCTTTTGATTTTTAAATCTAATTGATTTAAAGCTAATTAAAGGGCAAAGATTCAGAGTCATTCAGTCACCATAAGCCTGGGATCTATGTTATATTTATATTTAAAATTTATATATTAAATTTAACATATTTGTAACGTATAAAATATATTTGCTGTAAGGTTATTTCGTTGCGTTCGAAAAAAAATCGATTTTTTTTATGAATTAAGAAAACCAATAGGAATGGGTGGAGCAAAGCCTTCTTCACCAACTCCATTAGAGAGTAATGTCAGATTGACCAACACAAAATTTGATGAAGCTACAGGAAGTCAGAGTGATTCATTATTAGCATATGCTAATGCTTATCAAAGATTAATAGGAAAATTGTTGTATGTGACCATAACTAGACCAGATATTAATAATATTATTTTGACACTAAGGGTGTATTTGGTACGAAGGAAAATATTTTTCATGGAAATGTTTTCTTGGAAAATAAGTGAATTACTAACTTATTTTCTCATGTTTGGTTGTTAGTAGAAATTATTTACTAGAAAATATTTTTTAATGTTTGGTTGTTGAATCAAAAATATTTTTCAGAAAATACCTTTTATTTTTGGCTTGAGACTAAAAAAATACTCTTTAGAAAAATAATTTCTGATCCGAAAATCAATCACGATAATTGATCTAGAATCCGACCCCAACACCCAAACTAGGACAAGATTCCGATGATCTTTCCAAAATTCAACCATGAGATTTGACAAAAATTCAAAAATATTTTTCTTAAAAAAATAAAAAATTGACGGGGTTTCGGGGGGGGGGGGGGGGAGATAGGGGTGGGAGTGACATAAAAAATGAATTTCTTTTAAAATTTGAAATATTTTTCAAAAACAGTTTTTAATTTTTTTTTTTGATGGGGGTGGCGCGGATGGGGGCGTAAACAATAATTTTTTTTTAAATTTGAAATATTTCCCAAAATATTTTAATTTTTTTTTTGATGAGAATAGTCTGGTTGGGGGTGGCGGGGGTAGGGGGTAGGGTAAAAATGAAAAAAAAATTGAAATATTTTTCAAAAACATTTTTTAAAAAAGAAAAATTGACGGGGATGGCCTGGGTGGGGGTGCTAGGGGGTGGCATAAAAATGACTTTTTTAAAATTTGAAACTTTTTTCATAAATAATTCTTAAATTTTGTTTTTTGTTTGGGGGGGGGGGGGGGGGAATCTAATTTTTATTTTTATTTTTTTTTGAATGGGGAGAGTCGGGTACGAGGTATAGGTAGGGTGAGAAAAAAATTAAAGGATGAAGTGGAGTTTTCGAAAACATTTTCCTTAATTTTGGAAGGGAAGTCATTTTCCTTAAATTTGAGGAAAATGAGTTGATTTGAAAAACATTTAAGCCAACCAAACTTGAAAAAATTGGAAAACATTTCATACCAAACACACCCTAAGCCAATTCATGCAAACACCAAAACAACCACATTGGGAATCATCTATAATAGTAGTAATTATTTGAAACTTGCACCTGGGCATGGTATCCTTATGAGTTCATCCTCTAGTCAGGAGCTCACATGTTGGTGTGATTTGGATTGGGCAGCATGTTCAAATACCAGAAGATATGTAACATGATATATGATCAAGTTTGGAAATTCGTTGGTATCTTAGAAGTTCAAAAAGCAACAAATAGTGTCAAGGAGCTTTGCAGAGGCAAAATATAGGAGTATGGCTTCAACAGTAGTTGAGATTACATGATTGATAGGTCTATTTCAGGATATTGGGATGAATGTGACATATCCAGTAATTGTTATGAGCAGGGGTGTAGGCACATGGTGGTCAGGTGTCTAATTTGACACTCTTCGTCAGAAAAAAATATTGTATATACAAGTAAAATGATATATGAAATGATTAAATAACAAATTTTGAACACCCTTGACACTATAGGTTGTTGTAGCCTAGTGGTTTTAGATCTTTTTAATGGGTTTCAAACACCTTGAGTGAGTTAGTGGTCGTGTGTTCGAATCTCACTAGCAACGTTTTCCCTTTTTAAAAAGACCTTTTGTTGTGCAATTTTTGAACACCCTTCGTGAAATTTCTGGTTCTGCCACTGGTTATGAGTGATAGTAAGACAACAATACAAATTTCCTCAAATCCTACTTTTTATGAATGCACTAAGCACATAAAAATGGACTACCACTTTATTCGTATCAAGATTAAAGGACTTGTTGAGACAACTTTTGTGGAGACTAAAGAACATCATGTAGATATATTGACCAAAGGGCTAAGCAAGGCAAAACATTCCTATCTAATGAGCAAGCTAGAAGTGTTCAACATTTTGCACCCTCCTTGCGGGAGAGTATTAGAGTTAGGGCTCGTTTGGTGTGAGGGATTAGAAATAATAGTGATGGGATAAGGAAATAGTGATGGGATAAAAAAAAATTATGTTGTTTGGTTGGCAAGTCCGGGATAACTTATCTCGGGATTAATAATTAGTACCGGGATAAGTTATCCCTCCCCATGGGTGGTATAGTAATCCCGGGATAACTTATCCCGAGATAGAATAGGTAAATGACAAATATGTCTCTTTAAATCCTTTTTATATATCATTTTTTACATTTATGTATATTTACATTTTTATTAATACCATGTATAATAATATTTACTACTCCTTATTTTTATGATAATTATACATATTTTTCTATTAAAAAATTATACTATATAAATATAATTTTTATTTATGAATTTATTTGACTAATTCTTATGTTTATTTTATTTTGATTTCTCATAAATTTTCTTCTCTTTAATAAACTTAAGAGGAAAGTTCTATTTTTAAGCTAAACAAGAAAAAAGTTATAT